ACTAATCAGGGCTCGAAATACCCGGTGGCGCACTGGCGCGGCGCCACCTGATTTTGCTTGGCGCCACTTATTCCTAAACTCAGGTGGCGCAGCGCGCCACCTATAATTTGCGGTAGGGATCGAGCCGCTAATCGCATGGATCGGGCCCCATTGTCGGCACAATCTTGTGAATTGTCGATGAATTGTCGATCTCGCCATGACGCCGCAAAGAAAACGTTGTCATTGGTAGAAAATCTGACACCCCGCTGGCGTTTCACAACAAAATTTTCTGTAAACAACTCCGACTGTCTTTGTTTACATCGCGAAAGCTCACCGATACAAAGTAAAACTCCCGCCGGCCGGCCGCGCCCGACCACATGGTTGCGGCATGGCGCTAAGTTTTCGGCAGCTCGACGGAAAAATAATCCATCCCCAGAAGAAATGTTACGCATGAAAATAGCAACTTCAACTTGTTTTCCTCGTTATATGAGTTTTTGAGGCCGTAAAATGTTTAAAACGGTTGAAATTTGCTCGAAAAAACGGCTCGAAAATTGACGGCGAGAAAGACAACATGGCCGACCTGTTTTCACAATAACAATGGTCAAAGGTCAAGATAGCATCCAAATGTATAGATACATGTAATAAGTACATATTACAGTGCTAAAACGATACTTTAAACGCATGAAAAATATTTTTTTTCGGCTACAACTGAAATAAAAATTCAGTTATATTTTAGTAAGGTTAATTTTCAAACATTACTGAGAAATTTTCCGAATTTATTGGTTTATTGTGTAATATTTTTGTTTCTACTAGTATGTATGTGCGGTTGGATGCTGTCATTGTAAAGACCCTTTACATATTGGGAGAATCAGATGAGATATTAGAGATTATCACGCTTAGTACCGTGACCCGAGTGTCTCTCAAAAATTGTTTTTGAGTGGAGTTTATAAACATGATCACATTTTTATTTGTTCAGCTGTGTCAATATGTGATTCGTTTGAGAAATAGGATTTGGTTTAGTTTTTAATATATTAATGTCAGTTAACATCTTTGGAATAAATTGCTCCAAGTTCCAGGTAGTAAATACATGTACATTTTGTATCATGTATTTTTCACTTGTTGAACTTGTGGAAGCACCGTTGGCCCCCGGTTAGGGGTCATCCGGGGAACCTATGCCCAATTTTTTCAAAATTAAGGGTGATAATAGAATTTTTTTTGAACATGAGGATAATTAAGTACAGATATTCCGGGGGGTATGTTTATTTGGCAGATGAGAGTAACATTATCCTTGCGCAAAGGAAGAACATGGCGCACGTAACACCACCCGCATAAGTGTGCCGCCATGTAGAGGCGTGGCATTCCCACGGCGACAGCCCTGTGATGAAGACATGTAAAGGTGGCATTCTTTATTAAAACTGTTTCTTTATTAAAATTGTTTGAGAGCTTTTGTGTTCTTTACATTACTTTATCTTATAACATAAAACTTAAGTAGTTAACTAGAAGAAAACGCGTAATAGATATAAGTAGCAGATTTGAAGAAAATGATAACTTGGAAGTGTTGCCACTTGAATACTGATGGCGCCACCTGGCTTTTGACTCAGGTGGCAACATGCGCCACCTGGCTGAAAAAAGTATTTCGAGCCCTGACTAATTATATACGTCATGCTATTTTTTTTTTCATTAGTTCGTAGATCGGAAGACAGGAACATCAGCACCCTGCACGCCCACCAAGAGAGGGTCAGACAAGAGCACCACCTCAGAAACTCTCCGGAAAAGGAAGAAGATGGCTTCAACTACCACTGAGGCCACACTGTTTGACTGTATGAAGGTACGGATTTGATACAAAACTAATACATTTTGTTAATGATTCTCAAGTGAAAATCACTGTACCAAGCTTTGGTTAGGGACATCCTTGTGATTCCATGCATGTCCAGCATTAGTTAAGATCAGTAGGGTCCTTCCACTAGTAGAGCCAAAAATGTCTATAAAAAATGGCTAACGGACATTGGACATTCTTGAAAGTTCTGGACATTTTTTAAATATTTGTAAGAATGTCTTTCCCAGGTGTTTACAGGGTCTTTTTGGGGAGGACTTGCTTGTTGTGTTTTCCATTGTTCATGAGGTGTCTGTCAGAATGTCTGC